TCCACTTAGAACTATGGGACCCAACCATCCCTCTTATAGCCACTTCAAAGATTTACAGGTGTGGGCTTCAAAAATTTCAGTGCCAGTTTGCTTGGTGGGCATGGCCAGCCTCCTGCACCATGGCGAGGAGGTCATTTTGATCGCTCCAGGCTCCAGAGGCTTCCCTTGAGGGCGCGGCCAGCCAGGGGTGGGATTTGGAGGTTCTCCGAATCAGCCGTAATGTTAACTACGTGTTCTCCCGAACCTGAGCAAACCTGTAGCAGCCTACCCTGCTACACTTTTAATTCTGAATGGAATGGAATGGCAGAGTTGGAAGGGACCCTGGAGGTCTTCTAGTCCAATCTCCCATCCAAGCAGGAGATCCTACACCATTTCAGACAAATTTCCACAAAGAAGAGGAAGTCAAGCTATTCTCCAAAGCACCTGAGGGCAGGACAAGAAGGAATGGGTGGAAAGAAAACAACCTAGAACTAAGGAGAAATTTCCTGATAATAAGAACATTTAACCAGCGGAACAGCTTGCCTCCAGAGGTTGTGAATGCTCCAACACTGGAAGTTTTTTCAGAAGAGATTGAACACCATTTGTTTGAAATGATATAGGGTTTGCTGCCTGAGCAGGAGGTTGGACTAGAAGACCTCCAAGGTCCCATCCAAATCTGCTGTGCAATGCCTGAGAACGCATAGACAACCACGAAAACAAACAAAGGGATAGCAAGAGTTCTTACACAAGGCACAAACAATCAGATTCAATTTAACCTACACATCATGGGAAGACTCAGCTTTCTGGAGAAGACTCGGATGCTGGGAAAGATGGAAGGGAAAACAAAGAAGAGGATGACCAGCAGCAAGGACTCAGTTACAGAATAACTGAATAGAATAGAATAGAATAGAATAGAATAGAATAGAATAGAACAGAACAGAACAGAACAGAACAGAATGAAATGGGAATAGAATAGAATTAGAACAGAACAGAACAGAATTTTTATTGGCCAAATGTGATTGGACACATGTGAGCAATTTGATGCATAAGCTCTCATGTGAGCAGCAGGTGATAATCATAAAATACAATCACACTGAAGATTTTTAAAGAAGAGATTGGACAGCTATTTGTCTAAAATAACAGAATTACAGAATAGCAGAGTTGGCAGGGACCTTGGAGGTCTTCTAGTTCAATCCCCTGCTCAAGCAGGAGGATCTGTCTGGAATGGTATTGGGTCTCCTGCTTGAGCACGGGATTGGACTAGAAGACCTCCAAGGTCCCTGCCAACTCTGCTATTCTGTAATTCCTTCAGGCCACCAAATCTTGAAATGGAGCTTGCCTTAAGCATGCTTAGGACACTGGATATTGCACCCTAGAACTCCTCGGTCGTGGAGGGGTTAAGGGAGCAGAAGAGGGATTCCTAGAGAGGAAGGAAATAGGGTCGGAGGAAAGTGGAGGACTGGATCTTTCCAGCGAAGGGCCGCCCTGCTTCTGGCAGAAAGTCACTGCTTCGTGCAGGTTGCACCCTTTGCCTGCAAACTNAGTGCAGAGAAGAGCAACCAGGATGATTAGGGGACTAAAACATACAATGAATGGTTGCAGGAACTGGGCATGGCTAGTTTAGTGAAGAGAAGGACCAGGGGAGACATGATAGCAGTGTTCCAATATTTGAGGGGCTGGCATAGAGAGGAGGGGGTCAAGCTATTTTCCAAAGCACCCGAAGCACTCATTCAAGAAGCTTCTTCAGGGCAAGCAAAATGTCTCGAAGGAAAAACAATGGAAGCCCAATTGCCTCTTCAAAAACCATCTTCGGGACCTGTCCCTTTAACGCGGATATTAATGCTGATATCCTCCACTAAATGTATATTGGTGTATCCCATTTAATCCATAGTTTGTATTAACAATGAGTTGGTGAATGAGTTGGTGAGTCCCCAACCTATATTTCAATAAAACACAAAAGATAGCATCCATATTAAAATTATGCCTTTAAAAAAAAAAAACCCACAGGTTTCTGAGTCCCTCAGGATGGAATTGTGTTGTGTTTTGAATGATTACACATTTAGGAAACCTTTTGGAGGGTGATGGCTTGTTTATACTTCTTTTCTGCTGAATTTACTGTTTTCTAAATTAATGCATTGCAGAATTTCAAGGCACGGATACAGGTTGTCCTCGACTTAGGACCGCAATTGAGCCCACAATTGATGTCGCTAAATGAGACAATTACGTCCTCGCCAGAGTGCTTAAGTGAATCACTGCAGTTGTTAAGTTAGTCCCACGGTTGTTAAGTGAATCTGGCTTCCCCATTGTCTTTCCTTGTCAGACAGTCGCAAAAAGGGAATATTGCAACCGTCATAAATATGAACCAGTTGCCAAGAATCCGAATTTCAATCGCTGGACCGTGGGGATGCGGCGGCGGTCGTATGTGTGAAAAATGGCCATAAGTCATTATTTTCAGTAACTTTGAATGGTCACTAAATGAACTGTTGTAAATTGAAGACTTATCTGTACGGGGGGGGAGGGACAGGGGATTTTGAGAGTATATATACAGAGGCTGCTTTTAGCACCACAAACAGCAGCAACAACAACGCCAGTGGAGAGGTAGGCCTTCCACTTAGAACTATGGGTCCCAACCATCCCTCTTATAGCCACTTCAAAGATTTACAGGTG